AAGTATTACTCCACGCGCCCCAGGGGCGACCGGAACCCCTACCGGTTCGCTGCCAACACTGTCAACAGGTTTCCCGGGCACCCGAGTGTGAGTGGCACCCGAGCCTCGCCCGCTGCCCCCACCTCCTCGCTGGCCTGGAGGGGAATGGGGACACGCGGGCTGCCTGCGGGCGGGGGCGGGGGTGGGGGTGGGGGTAGGATTGGCCTGGGGAGGGTGGAGATGGGGGGAGTGTCTGGCAGGCAAGCCGGACAGGCTGGGGGGGCAGGAACTCCTGAGCCCCCGGGGGTTTAAGTACCCTTGCTGGGTGTGGGGAGCCCCGGGGGCTGCGGGGAGCCACTGGGGAAGTGGCCGGTGTGATTTCCACTTTAGAAACTCCCTTCTGGGGGATCCCCGGGTGGCTCAGCGGTTTGGCGCCTGCCTTTGGCCCAGGGCGCGATCCCGGAGTCCCAGGATCCAGTCCTGGGATCAAGTCCCGCGTCGGGCTCCTGGCATGGAGCCTGCTTCTCTCTCCTCCTGTCTCTGCCTTTCTCTCTCTCTAAAATGAATAAATGAATGAATGAATGAATAAATAAATCTTTCAAAAAAAAAAAAAAAAAGAAACTCCCTTCTGGCCAGAGGGCTGCTCTGGTTTGGGTGCAGAAAACGGTTGGCTGGCAGAGAGGGAGAGAGGCCTGGGCACCGCACTCAACGTCTGGTTGGAGCTGAGTAGATGGTAAGGTGGGGTGGCCCAGGCTGGGCAGAGGAAGGGGGTCCGGACGTGAGGCCCTCCCCAGGAACAGCGTGGCAAAGCAGGACAGCAGCACTGGACCTCCCAGTACCAGTTCCTAGACCTGCAGGGAGCCCTGTGGGCACCGCGCAGGCTGGTTGCGGAAGCCTCAGGGCCATCCCGGGTCCTTCCTTAATTTCCTAAGAAGCCCCCTTCATGGGGCAGCCCGGGTGGCTCAGAGGTTTAGCCTAGCCTTCGGCCCAGGGCATGATCCTGGAGTCCTGGGATCAAGTCCCACATCTGCCTGTGTCTCCGCCTCTCTCTGTGTCTCTCATGAATAAATAAATAAAAATCTTAAAAAAAAAAAAAAAAAGAATCCCCCTTCAAAGCACACCTGAAAGGAGGCCCCTTCCCCAATCTGCCACCTCCACTTCCACCTTAGTCCTCCCTCCTGGTCTTGCCACCCTCCCCATGGTGGCCACTGGGCCTTGGAAAACATAAACCAGGTCCCTCTACTCCCCTGGAAAATCACTAATATAAAATCCTGACTCTTCATGGCCCACACACCCAAACTGGACCTCCCCTCCCTTCACTCTCCCTGGCTCTGCCCCTGAACCCCCCCCAACCCCCCCCACCCTTGCTGTAAGCTCATCCCCTTCTCAACTGTTCCTTCTCTTCCTCCACTTGGTCCTCTGCAGAGCCCTGCAAGGCTATGTCTGCAGTGTTTTGCTCCCAACACAAATGTCACCTTCTTCTGGAAAAAGCAGCCTCCCCTGTCACATTATCTGGCTTTACTGGTTTTTTAACACACTTAACCGGTGTTCAAAGTAATTTTCTTTGTGTTCTTGTTTATCATCTTTTCTCTTGATCAGAATATAAGCTCCATGAGTATAGGGACCATGTCTGTCTTGCTCAAGGCTGTCGCCACAGCCTGGACCAGTGCTGGGCACCCAGAAGAAAATCATTCAACATTCGTTACCTGAGGAAACTGATCCCTGGGCCATACAGGTAGGTTGCCAGCTCTAAGGTGGCAGGTTGTGACAGGTGACCCAGACTGAGCAGTCCAGGAGAAGGTGGTAGAGATGAGTTCTCCCCCTGAGCTCCACGGCCCCCCATTATGGGGGGCATATCTGGAAAAACCTTGCAAAAAGAGGACTGATTTGAATTGTGACAAGAACGGGTAGCACTTCTGGAGGAAATTGGCAGAGTGCTTTTGCAGGCACAGGGAGATGGATAAATGGGGACTTGGAGCAGGGAGTGGCTAGGGTTTGGGATGGCTGGGGTATAGGATCCCCTAGCTGTGAAGTGCTAGGGGCATGGGAGATTAACTTGAATAAGCAGATTGTGGCCAGGCTTTGACGGGTCTTGTTATGGACTGAATTGTGCTCCTGCCTCCCAAGATTCATAGTTGTTTTTTGTTATTCATGAGAGACACACAGAGAGGCAGAGACACAGGCAGAGGGAGAAACAGGGTTCCTGAGTGGAGCCCTACAGGACTCCATCCCAGGACCCCCGGGATCATGACGCTCAACCACTGAGACACCCAGGTGCCCCACCAAGATTCATAGGTTGAAGTCCTAACCCTTTTTATAGCCTCCAGATGTGCCTATTTGGAGATAGGGCCTTTAACGAAGGAATCCAGGTTAAAGAGAGGTCATATGGGTGGGTCCTAATCCAATATGATTTGTGTCCTTATACAAAGAGGGAAAGACATCAGGGATGCATGCACAATGAGAAAAGAGGCAGCATGGGAATGGCCATCTGCAGGCCAAGGAGAGAAACCTCAGAAGAACCCGACTGTGCCCCCACCTTGATACGGGACTTCCAGCCCCAGGACGGTAAGAAAGTAAATTTCTGTGGTTTAAGCCCCCCATTCTGTGATCTTTTGTTTCGGCAGCCCTAGCAAACTAATACAAGTCTTAAGGTTTTTATATTTTAATGTTATTTTTTATATATATTTTTTAATATTTTTAATTTTAAATAGTCATATAGTCATCTGGTTCAAGAATCGCACGTGAGGGATTCCTGGGTGGCGCAGTGGTTTAGCGCCTGCCTTTGGCCCAGGGCACGATCCTGGAGACCCGGGATCGAATCCCACGTCGGGCTCCTGGTGCATGGAGCCTGCTTCTCCCTCTGCCTGTGTCTCTGCCCCTCTCTCTCTGTGACTATCATAAATAAATAAAAATAATTAAAAAAAAAAAAAAGAATCGCACGTGAAAAGTAATAATGACCAGATGATCAAGGTCATGAACATATCATGAACATGATACGTCATGTTGACAGTGTGTAACCCTTGGTAGGATGTGGTGAAAATGGCACTGTATCTGAGAGGCCTTCTTCCAAAAATCCCCTAAGCTCAGACTAATTATAAGAAAAACATTAGCTAAATCTCAAATGAGGAACATTCTACAAAACACTTATATTCCTCAAAACTGTCAAGTTCTTCAAAAAACAAGGAAATTCTGGAAAACTGTCACAGCCCAGGGAAGCCTAAGGACACATAACAACCAAGTGTACTGTGATGTCTTGGATGGGGTCCTAGAACAAAGGACATTGGCTAAGACTAAGGAAATCTGATCAAGTATGGACTTTAGCTATACTAGTGTATTGACAGAGGTTTGCTAGTTGTAAACAATGCACCAAGATGTTAATGAGAGGGGAAACCGGGAGGGGAGGGAGACAATGAGAACTGTTTATATTATCTTTGAAAATTTTCTGTAAATCTAAAATGGTTCTGAAGTTTATTTTTAAAGAAGTAATAGTGAAAAAAAAAAAAGAAGTAATAGTGAAAAGTCTCTCTCAGATTTCTGTCCCTTGCCTGCACGGCACCCGTTCCTACCCACAGCCATTAGTGTCCTGTACACCGTTCAAGAATCCTTTATGCAAATATGAACCTATTTTGATTTTCTCCCAGAATAGCCTTTTTGTTTACTTTAAAGAGCATTTAATAATTTTTATCATAAAATATTTCAAACAGAGACGAGAACAATGCGCCCCATATACCCACCACCCATATTCACCAATTATCAAGTATTTGCCGTGTATGCTTCAGCTACCTCTCCCTGCTTTGCTCTCTTCCTTTTGCTCAACTGTCTTCAAGCAAATTCCAGACCTCCTACACATGCCAGTGTGTATCTCTGGGCAATTTGCCCATCTTCTCTATTATACTAAAGTCTATGTCCCACCACCAAGAGTGGTTCCTGAAGGGCCTCTGGGAACTTAGGTCTGGATGACGAAGAGACACAGGACAGCTTTGCAGGGCAGGTGTGTGTGCGTGTGACCTAATTATGTCTGCGAGTGGTATGATTTGGCCGTAGGGGAGGTCAGAGCTGGGAGCCAGACTATCAACACCCTTGGATGCTAAGTGATGGGGCCTGATGCATGGAAGTTGCAGCAGGGTGGAGGGAAGGAGGACCAGCTGGAGAGCCTCTGGGGGACGGGGGCACTAAGCAACCTGGCCTTTCATGCGTACCTGGTACCTGCCGGGAGGCTAGACGGGGTCTTGGTGCGGGGGCAGGGCAGCTGCCGCTACCTGTACCCAAGGGTCCTACAGGCAAGAATGGGATTCCAATGGCTAGGCTTTCCTTCTCAGAAGAGTTGGGCTCATTTTGACTACCTCAAGGCAGATGGCACATCTCTGCAGTGCCCTGGCAAAGCCTTGTCCCTTGCCTGGTTTCGTGGGCCAGCACCCACCCTCCGATTCATGAACATTGAATGTTCAGCATGTCAGAGCTGGAAGGCCATCGGATATCACAGAGTCTAACCCCGCTCTGGTTACACATAGAAACGGAGACCCAGAGAAAGGGGTGCCAGTTGCCTGGGACCACACAGGGAGCGAGAAGCAGAGCTGGCATTAGAACACAGGTCTCTGACTTCTTCCCATTACTCAGAGCTTCCTCTTCTCTCCAAATCCTGCTCCTGGAAGAGATGTGTCACTAGCCATTGCTGCTTGTGTGTGAGCTTAAAACCTCCTGGGTGATCCCTCTACTCAGGGACATACGTACCCTAAGCCTGCTTGCTTGCGAATGATAGCATAACTACAGGACACTCTTTCTGGAGCCCTCACCATGTACCACGCACTGTGCTAGGAGCCTTCCTTACACCTGGCTGAACCTCCCCGAATCCCACGAGGCAGCCACTATTACTTTTGTAATCTCCCATTATAGAGGTAGGCAAATTGAGATACAGAGAGATGCAGCTTGTCTAAGATCACACGGCGAGGGTGTGGCGAGGCTGTGTTTGTCTAACTGGAAAGTCCACACTCCTAAACACTAACCCCGTGGCCTCTCAAGGAGAGGGGTGGCTTCCCCCGAAGAGGACAGTGCTTCCTCCCTGGCCTCGTCCTTCCTCGCCCACCGGCCTAGAGCCTCTCAGATGGACCCTGACCCCCTGCTGACGTCTCCAAGAAGCCGGGCCCTTCCCAGGGTGCTTTATGGCGTTTGGTGTTTGGGGGCATCAGCAGACGTCCGTGTTCAGGATGCTCGTGGGAGTTTCAGCGCTGCCTGCACAGCACAGCAGACACAATGTCGTCTTGGCCGGGGTGCAAATGGACGGCCCGGTGAGCGGCGCACGCGAGGGACGCCTGCCCCTTGGGCGGCCTACACTACCGCGCGGGCCGTGCCCTACGGTGGGCTGTGGACGCGTGGCCCCGGGGGCCGGCACTCGGGCGCGCAGGCCAGGGCAGCAGGTGTCCTGGGAGGCGAGGCTGTAAGAAGAGGCCGGGCTGCGGCGGCTGGGGCCTGGGCTCTAACCTGGGTGGTTCGAGCGCCAAGGACGGCGGCACAGGTGGGCGCGGGCCGGCAGGGGCTGCAGGAGGCGGGCGGAGCAGGGCGCCGCGGGCCGCAGAGGACGCGCAGGCGGACGGCGGGGCAGGTGGCCGCGGGCGGGAGCGCCGCGGAGCCGGGGCGCGTGGACGGTTTGCGGCGCCCCCCGCCCCCCGCCCCGGGAGCCCGGGGTCAGGCCGCGGTCAGACGCGGGCGCGCGCCGCCTCCGCGGGGTGGCCCCGCCCCCTCGGCGACCGCCCGGCGCCCCGGGTTCGAGTCCCGGCCCCGCTGTGCCTCGCTGCGGGGCGGCGCGCGGACCCCGCCCTCTTCCGGCCTCAGTTTCCCCCCTCCCGAGCTCGCGGAGGGCCGCTGCCCTCGGCCGCGCGCGGCCCCGAGCCCGCAGGCCGCCACGCGGGGCGGGGCCGCGGCGAGGCGTCCGCAGCGCGCCCGCCCACGGGAGCGCGGACGCGCACGGGCGCGCTCGCACCTGGCCGCCGCGGGAGCGGCTGTGGGCGGGCGGGGCGGGAGGCCACGCCCCCGGGCCCGCCCCCGGCCTCGCCGAGCCAATCGGAGCGGGCGGCTGGCCCCGTGTGGGGCGACGCGCCGGGGGCGGGGCCTGCGGGGCTGAGGAGCGAGCCCGAGGGCCGGCGGCGCGAGGCGGTCGGGCGGAGGCGGCGGCGGCGGCGGCCGGTCCCGGGACAGCGACGCAGCGCGCCGGCGGCCGCGACAGGGCCCGTCAGGCTCCGCAGCCCGCCGCAGCCGCGGCCGCCGCCTCGCCGCTGAGGGCCCGGGAGCGCGGCGGCGGGGGCGCGGCCTGCGAGGACGGCGGGAGCGGCGGGCGCGGCGCGGCGCCGAGCGTCCTGTCAGGCGGCCGAGGGCGCCGCGGACCCGCGCCGCGATGATGCCGGTGGGTGCGGGCGGCGGCGGCTTCCTCCGCGGGCGGCGGGCCAAGCCGCCTTCCTCGCGCGGCTCCCCGCCCTCGGGGCCCGCGCGGGGCCGGGCGGGGAAGGAAGTGGCCTGGCGGGCGCGCCCGGCCCCGGCGCCCCCCGGGCGGGCAGGTGGGGGCGGCGCCGGCTGTCAGCGCGGCCTCGGCCGGGGCCGGGGCCGGGGTCGCGGTCGCGGTCGCGGCCGGGGTCGGGGTCGCGGCCGGGTCAGGGCCGGGTCAGGGCCGGGACGCCCGTCGCCCCCTCCCCCCCCCGCCGCGGCGCGGCCCTTCCTGCCGACCCTCCCCAGCTGGGGGCCGCCTGGGCGGGGAAGCCGGACACGACGTCGGAGCCGGTCCCGTTTCCCAACGCCCCGGCGGGCGGGCGGCCCGGGGAGGGGGTGTCGTCCGGCGCCCCCGTGACCCCCCGCCTGCGGCTCGGCCGGGGTCGCGTTGGGAGCGGGCGGCGGGGCGTGTGCGCCGGTGCGGAGCTCGCAGGCCGGGCCCCACGGATCCCCTCGGCGCGGCCCGGATCCTGAGGTTCTGTTGTCTTTAGGAATTGACGTAGGGAGCGGACCGAGAGAGCCATCTTAGGGTTCCTCGGAGCGCGCCTCGGAGGGCTGTGCGGACCGTGTGCCGTGACCGGCCTGTGGCCACTGTGATCCGGGGGTGGAACGAGGTTCGCTCGCGGCGGCGCCGCCTTTGTCCTGTCCTCCAGGATGCGTTCTGCTAGAAAGCTTGGCTGTTTCCTTTACCTACGCTCTAGATCGCAGTGCGTGCTCCGTGAGGATTTTTCTAGTCTTTTTTTTTTTTTTTTTTTTTTTTTTTTTTTGTGAGGTGGGTGTCATGACTTCTGGAGAAAAATGTAGGACTGGGGGCGCCCAGTTGGATGTCCTGGTCCCCCCCCCCCCCCGTTCCTTCATTGTGAGTAGGATCCTCAGACACGCTTATAGTGAAGTAACAACAAAATCCATCGCTTTAACCTACGACTTCTGCGCTGGAAATCACGTTTCCGAAGGAAAGCGCCGTTTCTCTGCGTTTTTCTGCTGGAAGACTGCTCTTCTGCGATGCTGCCTGCACTCAAGGACATTTAGATTAGAATCAACCCCCCCCCTCCCGCCCCCCATCTTTCAAGCCATTTCCTGTCTCTTGGTAATCTCTTCTCTCTTTTTTGAACTCATTCCAACACATCGTGTTTACAGAGTCTTAAGCTTTGACCTCATTGATCCTTAGATCCTTCTTTAGCATCAGGGCTTGTTGGGTTTCCAAACATTTGGTTTTAAATGAGTGATTGTCTTGTAATGGAAGGGGAATTGGATGTGAGCATCAGGAGATCCAGAGTCTAGTTCTGCTTTTTTTTTTTTTTTCTTCTTTTTTAAGCTATGTGACCTTGAACAAGTCAAGGTCTCCAGCCTGGAGTTACCTCTGAAGTAGGAATAAAAACATACCAGTGTCTGAGGGCTTGTCCTGAGGATCAGAAAGGATGATGTGTCCAAAACTGCTTGTCAAACAGAATGCCATGCAAATATTTATTATTGTTAGTATGGCTCTGAATTGTCCATTTCTAATTTAAACCTCTGCAAGAAAAGGCATTTGGAAGCTGTTCCCTCCCTAATTCTCACTGGCTAGATTTGGGAAAAGGGCATTATGGTGTCTTGGAATTTTGAAAGCAGCGTTAGTTAAATCATGTAATAGTTGGTTTCATTATAAACTACAGCAACATTGGAGGGTATTTATAAAATGTAGATTGGTTTCGTCTTTGTGTAATGTTTAATTACAAATACCCTGGGAAGGAACCTGGCTTACCTTTTCCATATGGGACACTCAGACGTTTTACCTCTACTCCACATGGTTAGTTTCCTCTAAATTGGTCTCTTCCTTACCAATTTCTTTAAGTTTTCTTACCTGGCAATTGGGAAATTTCTTCATGATACTTAAAATCATCAAATACTTAAAAAACACACACACACACAGATAAGTCTGTTAACTATTTAAAACACAGTTTTGTTTTAAACGCCTTTTAGTAACAGATGGTGTTTCTCTTTCTTAGTCTCTCTTTTGTGCCCTTGAGGTCTATATTTCCTTCTTGATCCCTAAAAATACTACTTGTAGGATTGAGTCCTTCCTCTAGTAACATGGTTGAGACTGGTTGTAAATTCAATGTAAGTTTTAAGGACATGCCATTCTTTCTTGGTCTTATCTGAAACTATGTATCCAATATAAGAAAGATTGCTCTTTATTGTATAGTTGGTGTTCAGCATCATGATGAATCATCAAAGGAAAATTGGATCACATTTTGCATACTTTGTATAGAGTAGTACTTTCTAATAGGAATGTAATGTGAGCCACACAAATGTGATTTTAAATTGTCTAGGCACTACATAAAAAGGTGGTATTTTAGTAATATCTTTTATTAACTCAGTATATCAAAAGTGTCATTTTAACATGTAATCAATATGAAAATTTACTGATGTGATATTTTCCTTTTTTTTTTTTTTTTTTTTTACACTAAGTCATTGAAATCCAGTGTGAATCCAGTGTGAATCTGGTGAGGTTTAGAGTAGCACATTTCAGGTGCTCAGTAGCCACCTGTGGTCAGTAGCTACTATATTGGGCAACACAGGGTTTAGGATATATTTTAGTTATTTGATAATTAGCAATTAGTGTGTAGAGTCTGTGGTAACTTTTAATTGATCAGATGGTTTACTGCAGCGCTCAGTCTCTCAGCTGTTGGGAATAAATGGAAGTATCCAGTCATGTTTTCATTTGACACAAAGTCTTTGTAGAAGTCTTTAATTTGCCTGTTTTGGGAAGTTGCGTGACTATCAACTTTTTTTTCTTTAATCGGCTCCGTGCCCATAATGGAGCCCAATGCAGGGCATGAGCTCACGACCCTGAGATCAGGAGTCGGTGCTTTAACCGGCTGAGCCACCCAGGTACCCCTGTGATTCTATTTTTATATTTTGGAATTTTCTCGTACTAAAATAGTAATGCATTCTAGTATCTGTAGTCATTCACCTTTTTGTCAATGGATGACATTTTTACAATGTTTTCCCAGAAGAAAATGGCCTATACTTTAAAGATCTCTTTTTGGCTCCTCCCTAAGATCTAGACCTGAAGGCATTTAGGGTATGCCTAAATAACTTTGAAAGAAATAAGAATATTAATAAAAAAAGTGTGATTCAGAGCATGAAAAGAATGAAAATATCTTACTCATTGGTCAGCTTCTCAAAAGGGAGTGAGCATTTTGCAGCTGGCAAAACTTCTTGTGCAAAGGTGAAATATGTATCTGGGGAATGGTGCTAAGGGTACTTTTTTCCTCTTCCAAAGGAATGTTGATATGAGTAAAGGGAGTTCTGTGGTTCTAAAGCGTGTTTTATTCATAAGAAAGGCACTCTGGTGGTAGTGTTTTGGTCATGTCAGCAGTGAGACTCCTTATCTGCAGTAGATAGCACACAGAATGACTAGCTGATTCCGCTCCTTTCTGTCCTAGGAGCCCTTTCAATATATTCATGATAGGCTAGGGGTTAAATAAATTTGTGTTTAATATTTAGCTCTCATTAAACAGACATTTACTTATTTCAGATACTTTCTTCCCAACTATGTACAAAAAAAAAAATTGAGGTACTAGAGTGAGTCTTTTTTTTACTTTAATATTTTTTAAAAATTTTATTTTTTCATGAGAGACACAGAGGCAGAGGGAGAAGCAGGCTCCCTACTGGGAGCCTGATGTGGAACTTGATCCCAGTACCCCAGGATCACGACCTGAGCCAAAGGCAGACACTCAACCCCTGAGCCACCCAGGTGCCCCAGAATAGGTTTTCTTTTAAATAATCAGCTGTCGGGCAGCCCCGGTGGCGCAGCGGTTTGGCG